ATTATTTCACACACCAGTTGGTTCAAAGGCAGCCAAAATAAGTTAGTGAGGTTCCCGCGGGTTTGTCAATCTGCTAAAGGAGCTGCGGGCGAAATAGCTGAGGAGGCAGCGACCAGCAAACAATTATGATCGTCATCCCGTTAAAGCAAAGCTGAACCGTGTGACTGCTCACTCTGAGGGAAATTATATATATAAAAAAAAATGTTATCAGCTTTGTAGAGCTGAGTGCTTCCTGGTGAATAAATGTTGTTCAATCAAAATTGATCATCTCACTGAAATTAAAATGACAACAAAACACTGGAATTTGTTTGGTAATATTATAAAAACTTGCTCCTTTAAAAATTTCAGAGCAAACACTGAAAATATTTGATGGGTTTTAACCATTTCTTGGCCACACTTTAACAGATATTATCTATCCATCCATCCCTCCATCCATCTTAGCTTTTTTCAATGATTTGTTTTCTTTGAGCTATCTTGTTACCAAATTGGAAACAGTGAGGCTTCCTCAAACAATTTAAAGCAGAGGTGTCAAATTCATTTCCACCAATTAAACACTTTTTGAACTCCCGTGGGCCCCACACAATGACTTGGCGGGCCACATTTGAACTGCGGGCCTTGGGTTTGACACATGATTTAAAGGTTACATGATGTGCAATTTTTTAATTTTGGCTAACATTTAACTTTTTCTAAGCCTTTCTGGAGATGTTTTAATTTTACAGTATTATAATAATATACATACATACAATATATGGTATAATAATAATACAGTATTATACAGTATTCATGGCCATGTTAGCGGGCCTAGATTAGTTTGCTATTTGAGGTTAAAAATGTAGGTATATAATAAGTTTCTCTAATGTACCTGCTAATTGGATGTTTCTCAGCTATCTGCTAAGCTAATGATGTCATTTTAAAGTTTTCCCAATTTTCCTCCTCCAATTAAAAATATGGTAGTTCCTGGTCATTTGAAGGCACATTCTGAGTTTATGATTATATTTTTAATATGTTGGAGTCACTTATTTTTGGCTATACTGAACCATATCTGTAAAATATGACATAAGTTGTGTACAAATAAACATCATTTTCCATGATATTACATACCTGTGGAAAAACATGTAATTCACTTTAAAATAATAAACAAACATACATTAAAAAAGGGAAATTCAATTGTTTGGTTTGGATGAAGAATTACCTACAGAATATAGGGAGTGAAAAAATTCCGAAAATGTTAAAAGTTCGGAAGAAACTAGAGGTTCCGGTTGTTGATCTGAAGCAGGAAGTGAGCTGAGGAAGAGGAAGAAGAAAGTGTTGTGGGCGGAGCTGCTGTTGGTGGTGGTGGTAAAATGATTAGTCTGCTCAGTCGCCTGTGAAATTGACTTTATGGTTGTTTTTTTCCTCCTTTTCCAACACATGGAATTCAATTTGATAATGGGAATTAAGTTGTAGAGAATAATTAATAGTAATTGACTTCCTTCCATCACTTTATGCAAATGAAGGCGAGATAACGCTGCAGGAGCTTTTTAAGGCCACAGCACTTTTTAGAGTCGATGAGAGAGCGACTGTGTGTGTGTGTGTGTGTGTGCGCAGGGATTAACTTTATTGGAATTTATTTTCTTTTTTTTTATTTTGCAGTGATTGCTTTGTTGACAGATTTGTCTGAAGGTTGAGGGTTCACTCTCTCTGCTGCTGCTGCAGAGATTAAAGCATCACTGAGTGTCTCTGTAAGTACCAGGATGTTACAGTTGGAGCTGTTGCATAAGGAATTTGCACATGACCTCCAGAATGAGAGTTACAATTTTTACTCATTTTTTTTTCCCGATCACTCCATTAAAGCGGTAACTTCGCCTCTTGTTGTTAAACTTTGAATCTGAAAAGTTACGTTTGGCTTCTGTCTACGATGGCTTCAAATGTCTACGTTTGCTGAGAAAACTGTTGCATTGTACTTCAGTCAACAAATACCATGGTACCTTGGTCTTGTACTGTATGTAGTTTGTGTTCAATTATTGACTACTAATACTAGTATATGTGTGTCATGTGTATAATTGGGTTGAAAAATGTTAGTTGTATCAAAACTACATACTATAACCTAAAAAATGTATTTATACTAATACTAATTCCTAATTAATTAAATAATAATTTGAACTTCAATCCCCTTTTTGGGAAATCCTTGTCTGCAGATCTGCAAGAATTTCCCAAATATGGAATTGATACAGTTCAAATTATTCAAATTATTATTCAGTTAAAATACCAAAAACATCCTGTCTGTTTAAATTGATTCCCTAGCTAAATGTCTCATTGTTCTATGTATTTTTCAATTATTTTAGCTTATTGAATAATAAAAACAATTTGTCTGACTCTGTATGTCTTGGCTACTCGTCATTTTTGCCCATGTTTCTTAAGTCTCTTTTCTTGGGTCTCTTGTTTCGTGTTTGACTTTATTTCAGCTTCATATGCTCTTACTTTTTCGATAACTTTCATAACTCACAGTATCTGTTGGCATATTACATTTTTGTCTGACCTTTAAAGCACTTACACTTTAAAAATATATGAACCAATTTTCAAAAAAAAGGTTCTTATATTTTATATATATTTTATTCTATATGTTATTTAGGTGTCAAATAAAGGTTGTTAGTATATTTTTCTGCTAATTTCACTACATTCACATCTTTCTGTATCCTAAAATTATAACACAGATTTAATGACGACTTGTTCGATTTGGTTTTGGCCAACTTTATTTACATTGGCTCGCTTTTATATATTCTACATTAGGGGTGCCAAACTTAATAATTATTGAAAAATTGATGGCAATCGTGCATGTTTTCCCTTCTCTCCAGATCTGTAACGTTGAATTTTTTCGTATCAAAAAACAAACAACCAAAGCTTAATACTATAAAAACATGAGAAATTCACTTTGAAATAAGTCACACATCAGTGGTATTTGTTTCTTATTACGTCTCTTTATCTCTACACTTTCAAGTTCCTTTTTAGTGTAAATCTTTTTTTCACAGGCCAACAACAACAACAAAACACAAGATGCGTATACACTGCCCACACTACAAATCGGGCCAGTGGTGGCTCAGTGGTTAAGGAAGTGGACTGTTCAATTTGGTGATGGGTTAAAAGCAGAGGTCACATTTGGTTGTGTGCAGTGGTGTGCTGCTAAATCCTGTCATTATAGGGACTATATTCTGGTGGGCCAACTCTAGTACACCTTTGATATGATCTCATGGGCCAAAAATAATTACACTGCGGACCAGATTTGGCCCCCAGGCCTGAGTTTGACACGTGTGTTCTACATCCACTCTACGTTTAGGTTTTTTTAAATGAATGGGCCGTTTTTTGTTTTGTTTTTTAATCTTTGGATTCCTTAGTGTAGTGCTGCCTGCCTTACAAGCAGAAGGTCCTAGGTTTGAGCCTCAGTGGAATCACATACTTAATCCTCCTCGCGTAAATCACTTTAAACACAACACAAAAGCGTCTATTAAATGCATAAAACTAAGTGTTCAGTATACGCTGACGCAGTTGACGCTCTCAGATGGAGAACTTTTGTTCCCTTTGTAAAGAACCACATTACTCATAAAGGAAAAAGCGAGTGAGTGACAGGTACTGTTAGATTTGAGTTAATTCCTCTATTACTCTTGTGTCATATCTTACATTTGTGACACACAGATCTGTCTATAATAAGGAGAGGACATTCTTTCTGAAAATTTCCATTTCTGACCGCCGGCAGGTTCTGACATTTTGACCAGAACAAAGATACAGACCTGATTTATCTGGTTCACCTGGTTCAACTCTTTTTTTTTCTTTTTTCTCTTAATCGTACACAGCGTCACCTGCTAACGCCTCCTGCCTTCAAACCAAAGAAGACGAAGGCAACAACAGTTGTAGCAGTCTCAGATGAATGTACGTTTTTAATAGTGCGAGCCGCTGTGACTAATTCAGAGGCATGAGCACTGCCCGAAGGCAGGCGTCGGAGATGGCAGAGTGCATTATGTTCTGATGTTCAATGGAAGGAGACGAAGACTTTTAAAATGAATTTGACAGCATTTAAACCAAGGCAGGATCCAGTCCACCAAACTGCTACAAGACTAAAGTACTGAGACAGGGATAAAGACAAGAGATTTTTATGAACTGTGACTGAGACAAGATCACCATCAAAGTGTGTCTTATACTGGATCAGAATACAATTTTTGTGACCTCTGCATTTTACTCTGGAGCTTCACACTACAGCCAGGGCGGGATTCAAACCTGCAATCTTCTGGTAACTAGCCTGTTACCTCTAGCACTACCTCTGCCAGTGGATTACAGAATAAAGTATACAAGAACCATAAATCCGTATAATACCACAACCATTATAGGAACAGTCAGGTAAAATTGTGAAAGATCTAGAGCGGGGTGTCAAACATACGGCCCGCGGGCCAAAACTGGTCCACTGGGGAACCCACAAACACTTCATGCTAGTGACGCTTTGTCAAATATTTCATTCAAATACCCCCCCCCATAAACATGGGACTTGGACTTGTTATGAATGAGTTTGACATCCCTGATCTAGACCAAGACATGTGAGACTGTGACCAACGTCAGACCAACGCTGTTAGAAACTGACGATTCCTCAGTGGGTTCAGGAACTTTAACAGAACCGAGTGGATTAAAAGGAAAAAAGACAAAGGCTCTGACTGAGACGGAA